CCTTCATATCAGGTGTGTTGGAGCAGAGAAACATGTAAAACATGCAGGGTTGCACCCCTCCAGGACCAGGATTGCCCACCCCTGATTTAGAGCATAAATCAGAAACCGATGACTCCAAATTTAAACTCTCATCTCAACAAAGTTCCTCCGCGATTTTATTAAAAGTATATGTTTGTAGATGATTTCTTGAAAACGCCTATCATTAAATGATTACTTTTCTACATGAGTTATTAAGCTTCAGATGTGTTTCTAATGTGTTTAATAAATTAATGACTTTTTTCCCACTGTTCAAAGTCTTGGCACATTTCTAGTGTTCAKCGTGGCAGATCGTGTTTCAAACTTGACCCCTGCTGCGACTGACTGATGTCACAGTGGTTTTAATGTTTGGATCGTGTTGCCTTCTCCATGTTAGGATATTTAATGTCTGTAAGTTTGARGAAGGAATGTTCTGAACTGTATGTTTTAACCCTGAGGACATCCAGAACAAACATACTGTAGTGTAGCTGATGCATAGTTTTATGCTGCGGTGACGCAAGTWAAAAGTCAGATAAACATTCAGTTTTGTCTCACTTGATGAGTCTTGTGACAACAATGAAAGCAAATCCTGCTTCCTTGATTATTTAYGGAAAATAATCGGTTTTTATTCACACTTTCAGCCAAAACAACTTAAAGCTGTAAAATTTTGAATATCGTAATCATGATCTTTAATTTATTTGAGTCATTAATAACCTCGTGGATTTCTCTGCAGGAGCGCGAGTCTTCTCCAGGCCCTGGAGGAGAGCTACGAGCTGGACTTGATCTACATCACCGAGAGGATCATCTCCGTCTCCTTCCCCAGCAGCGTGGAGGAGCAGAGCTACGCTGCCAACCTGAGGGAGGTCGCCTCCATGCTGCGCTCCAAGCACGGCCACAACTACCTGGTACCGTCCCAAAATAACGTCACTTTCTTTAGTTTGGGTTCAGGTGCAGGGGCGGAGCCAGGGGGTGGCCAGGAGTGGCCATGGCCACCATAAACAAATCTTTGGCCACCCCACTGGCCACCTTTCTGTACACACCCCTTCCACAGTGAAACAACCTTTAGGGGTGTAATAATCCTCCTGAACAATTGGTGGCAGTGTTTAACAGTTTGAAACATTATCAAGCTCTATCACTGAAGAAGAGTAATGACAAGGAAGTGATGATTTTCTTTATATACAGAAACTATGCCTGTAATCTGACTTATGGTGTCAACTTTTGGACTTGTGGTGACAAATGTTTTTTTTTTGTCACCATGACAGTGTCATTTTATGTTATGAAGGCTGCATGATGCTCTGTGTTTATTAATAGTAGAGCAATCACTAAATCAGAAAAAGGTAAAYACCCCTCTAAATTCACTAAATTCATTGGGTGAAATTTATAAACATTCAGTTGAGGGTCATTATTTGGCGCAATGACATGTGTTACAATTAAAAATAAATCAATAAATAATATAAAAATGAAAAGCGCCCCTAAAGTCAATGAAAATGATAAATTGTGACACATTAATTAACCTTATCTCAGCTGTAGCAGTGAGTTTAAAAACAGGATGATGGAACTAGTTTAATGAAAAATCTGTCCCTGAAATAATTAAATCAAGTGTTAATTTACGTAGGTAAAGTATGTTTAACAACCTGGTAAAATACACCAGGATGCAGGAAATGCAATCTATTTCGTCCAAAATTTTCTGGGGGAGGACCCCCCSACCCCCCCCCCCCCCCCAAAAAAAAGTGTGTCGCCCCACTTTTAAAATGGATCTGATGCCCATGTTTGTAAGGTAGTCACTGTCTGTATAAGGATAAGGAAATGACCAAAACACAAAGATCTGCAAAAACTTTCAAGCATAAGAATTATTTAATTTTCCTGGCCACCCCTGTGTGAGTAGTGGTCCCGGTCTGGCCACCCCCTGGGAAAAATGTCTGGCTCCGCCACTGTTCAGGTGAGGCAAATTAAACACATACAGCTTACAATTCGCTACAAAACGTTCAAACCAGTAATGAGGAATGGAGGGAGGCAAGTGAGGAACTATTAATTATTATCATCAAATGTTAAAAGGATAAATGTCAAACATTATCGAAGGCTTTYACAAGAAGAAAAACTGTTTCAACTACTTATTTTTTCTAACTTTCTTTATTTAGCTCTTTAACCTGAGTGAGAAACGTTATGACATCAGTCAGCTCAACCCAAAGGTACGTCTGATTTCTTCTCCTCACTCGTCTCACACATCGTACTGGTTTTGACTACGATCCCTCCCCTCCCCCAGGTGTTGGACTTTGGCTGGCCCGACCACCACGCTCCTGCCCTGGACAAGATCTGCAGCATCTGCAAGGCCATGGACACGTGGCTGAGCGCTGACAGCCACAACGTGGTGGTGATTCACAACAAGGTGAGGCTGCGGAGAACGAAGCGGGCCTTTTCTGGACGGCAGATGGCGCYGTCAGGCCCCGTTTTTGTGCCTGTAGCGATGGCACCACCCCGCCCCCGTTGGAGGAACAGACACCGGGGTGGAGTGTTTGTGCATTAGATTGTGTCTCTCTGTTCTTGTTTTGGTTCTGTGAGGGTAAAGAAAACACAAATTAGGGGCGGAAGGCATTACAGTCATCATGGCTACAAGTGTTTATTTACCCCTTTACCCTCAAAAGTGCCATAAAATCTGAGTTGACCAATATTCCCCCTGTTGTTGCATCACATTAAACCCTTGTGGCAAGCCACACTCATTTGGCTCCTAAATACCCTGACACAACTCATAAAAACTACAACTAAATACAATTAACATCCTGGAGCCTCAGAATGTAAGACGTAGTAGTTTCACRTCAAACCCACTGAACGCTGAGAGCTTGGAAGATGAGGGGCATCAGAAGGCTTTTCATTTCCACTGAGCTCTGCACTGTTAAAGCAGCCGCCATATTTAAAGTGTGGAAAACACTTGTTCYTTATAATTTGTTTAAAAATAAATTTATTTGCAACAGTAATACACTGTTATATAAATAAATTTAAATGCTACAAATTCAAGTAATATTTACTCATCATTATCTAGTACAAGTTACTAATATAGTTAAAGACTTGTGAATAAATCAGATACATTTTACTTAATTTGATCAAGTACATGTTACAAGATTTAAATGAGCAAATTAAACAAAATTTACC